GCGCACAAACAGAACCAAAACACAAAATAAAGTCCAGGCCTGGTCCTCTCTCGTCTTTCACTGTCGTAGCTCCTCCTTTTATCCTTCCGGAGCTCCTCCGTGGGACGCGAGACCGGTGAGTGGTGCAGGTGTCGTTCATTATCAATTACTCCACCGGCCTCGCTCCGTTCCCACGGCTCTCGTCCCCACCCCCACTCGTCACAAATGGTAAGGCTACATAAAGAGAGGCTTTTGAATATAGAAACAGACCTGTGGAGTCTCATGGCACTGGAGAGAAATAGATTGTTGCATGTCGACCCACACCGGTCATTTCACCAATATTTATGACTGCCTTTGACATTATAGTGGCTATTGAACCATATACAGTGGGGTCTGAATATCTATGGTGTTACATTTTTGGTCACTAATCTAAAAAGCAAATGTATTACACTGAGCATGTGATTTGAAGTGAATTGTCAGATACTTGTAGTACATTGAAACACAAGATGCTCTTCGGAAACAAATAACATTTTAAATTCAACTTTTCACACAAAATATCTGTAAAGCTGGTAATTATTAACTTTTTTGACAATACACATTGTTTCAAATCAGCTTTATAGAAAATCATGATGGTAATGTTTGTAATATCACTTCATGCATATGCCTTATCGTCGCATTTAGCAGATTACAGATAAATGATAATATAGTTTACATTTTGTGATGTTACAAGCAATCAAGCAGTTGAGGTTTGCTATATAATACATACATCTTTATGTTGGTGTACTATATGTGTACTGTATATATGCGGATGAAGTTGGACATCCAATTTTGTTTACATTGCTGCAAAAATGTTTATCACACAGCTCAATATATGAAGAGATTTGATATAAAATGTGATACATATTGCTTTATGTGAGTATAGTGTATATATGCAGGTAAAGTAGGTCATACTATAATACATACATTTGTTTTAGTAAATATCACTGGCCTAAAATATAGTCTAGATTCTGTAATCAAGCAGTTTATATTTACTATATAGTACACACAGCTTTCTGTGAGTGTACTTTATGTATCCGGTTAAACGGATAGTTTACCCAAAAATGAAAATTCCCCCATGATTTACTCACCCTCAAGCCATCCTATAGGTGTATGAAACTTTCTTTTTTCAGACGAATACAATCAGAGTTATAATAAAGACTGCCCTGGCTCTTCAAAGCTTTATTTTTGGGTGAACTATCCCTTCAAGGTTGGATACATTTTTATTTTATTATTATTATTTTTTAAACATTAGTTTACTTTTTATTTTAATTTTATAAGTAAACTGTGAAGCATTTTCACTAGTGATCTCAGACTTTTGAACCGCACTATATGTATAGGATTTATACTGTCTAGTTTGAAAGAATTATCGTGGTGGCCTGTGCTTGACTCCATTTGTGAGAGTCCTTCTGTTCAGCATGAAGTGTGTGAAGAATTAGATGAACATACTGACAGAGAAGGTTAAGCCTTTAGCTGGACATCACGTATTGCTAGATTCTGTCTCAACAAGCCCTAGCTGATCCCTAATACAACTGAAACTGTGCAGCTTGATGGATCACACAGATTGAAAGGTGGCATATGTCTCATGTTAAGCTTCTGGTTTTCTGATTTTGTTGCCCTTCCAACATGGAATCTCAATAACAGCATTTCTACAGGATTTTTATTTGACATCATGTATGCAATCTATATTCTGCTCCAATCAGATCAGTAAGTTCACTCTAAAATGAAAATTCTGTCATCATTGACTCACCCTCTTGTTGCTAACCATTCAGTTTTGGTTACCATTGACTTTCATTGTATGGGAAAAACATACTGAGACAATTCTCAAAATATCTTTTTTTATGTTCAACAGAAAGATAGTCAGTAATTTAGGTTTGGAACAACATGAGCAAATGATGACAGAATGTTCATTTTTAAATGAACTGTGCCTTTAACAGCTATGACAGAACCCACCCTGATGCTGTGTCCCTGATTGCAGGAGACTTTAATCATGCCAACCTGCAGACAGTTCTTCAGAAATATTACCAGCATGCCTCCCGCCCCATAAGAACGCTCTTGATTACTGCCACACCACTATCACAGCTGACTGCCAGACAGATCATCTGCCTGTGCTTCCTATTCCAAGAACCTGAAGAGGAAGAATGTATCCACAGGAACACTGGATGCAGGAGCAGATGAAGGGGTGTGAGTCAGTGAACTACGCTTGTTAGTGATTCAATTAAGATACAATTTTTCTGTTTGTTTTATCTTAATCATCTTGAAGAACGTACTTAAAAAGATGCTTTATTGAATCGCTGTTCAGTATGGAAGCTTATTTCCACCATGGAAATATAAACTTATAACTTTTAAACTGATCATATAACATTTAAACATATAAACTTTTCGCACAATTGTGATTTTATACCTTACAATTCGCAGTTACAAGTTATAAGTATTTACATCTCGCAATTCTAACTTCTTTTCTCTGCATTTTGAGTTTACATCACCAATACTGCTTTTTTCCCTCATAATTCCCTCAGAGTCTACATCTCACTTCTTTTTTCTGCCACAGAAAAAGTTGCAACTATCTTTTTTATATTTGTATTCTGCAGTGAAAATTAGCGTCCATAGTTCTGTGTAATAAATTAAATAATTAGTTTTTACGATGATAACAACTGAGTTTAATTGACAGTCAGTGCATTGTGAATCACACCAATACACTTTCATGCCAGAGATGAACATTAGTCACCAGTGGTCTTTTAAAATGTGTAGGCCGATTTTAAAAGGTAGGCCGACACAGAATCTGTGCCTGCTAAATAAGCTTTACAAATTTCCGCAGAACAAAAAAAAATTGTTTAACTATAAATTCCCGGTGTCCTGATTAAAACATATTCTGAAGCGATTAGTTTCCCTAACTTGCCAACTAAATCACTTGTTGCCCATTCAGATCAAGAAAAGACATTTTGTGAACTAACATTAAGAGCTATGAAAGTACATACCCTGATGTTGTGCCCCTGAATGCCTTTAATCATGCCAACCAGCAGATGGTAGAAAGCTCAACAGACTACCACAGAATTATTATTAATAATTATTATTATCTCCCAAAAGCAGCACATAAAATTAAAAAAGAAGTGTGGATTTACTTTTTGGCATTGGCATGACCTTCAGGAGTAGTCTATCAGGAGTAGTAGCATAAAAAATGAAGACAATTTTCCTAATCTTTGTGTACCACAGTTTGTGGCGTAGTCACAAAAATGGACAAATGAAAGCAGTAGGGATTTCTCACTACTCTATGATTCTGATATTTTTCTAGTTGCAAAGAAAAATACTGTGGCCTGTATAATGATTACAGACTGATCCACCATAATGATGTGCTGTGAAGAGCTGGTGATGGGGCGCATTAACACGATGCATTCTGAGTGATTAGACCCCCTGTAGTTCATATAACAATATAACAAGTCCAGTGAAAAGCAATTTCTTGGGATCTTCATGCTGCACTGACTCAACAGGAAGGCACTATTGTCAAAATTGTCTTTGTTCTTTATTGATTACAGCACCACATTTAACACCGTCATTCCTTCCAGACTGGAGAGAAAGCTGAATGACATTGATATTTAATTTTATTTCGTGTATTTTAGACTTTTTTGCATTTGCATGGTGCACTATAACATTAAATTGAACCCTGAACTGAACATGTATCTCAGTGGCAATATGAGGTTGCACAGATCTACCCATAATTATTGGTGGTAGGACTGAGTAGGAGGGTTAATCCAGAAACATGCGGCATGTGTTCACCCGTAGTAACCCTTCTCTCGGCAGAGATGCCTAATAATCTGAAGCAAAGGGGTCGCAAGTGTTAAAGGGCTGATGAGGATAGAATGCCCACTTTAAGAAGAGAATCCAGCTTTGACCTGATGGGAAGCAGAGAAAATGAACCCAGGAGTATAAAAGAAGATAGGGTAGCATCAGACTATTCAGAAAGAAGACCCTTGGCCTTTAGCTTTAACCTGAACAGAATGTAATCCTCTCCTTACTGCCCCTCTGTATTTTTTCCCCTGCACTTTTTATCCTTCACCTAACCTGCAGCTGAATGTCAAGTGTTTACAGTGTCTTATTTCTCTCTCTGCAGTTCTGACATACATTCCTACACACACACGCATACACACTAGCATTTAAAAGTTTAGGGTCAGTAGCTTTTTCCTGTTTTTTCTTTTTTCTTTTTTTTTTAGTCTTCTGATTACAAAGGCTGTTTTTTTAAATACAGAAAATTTTTTATTTTATTTTGTGATGGCAAAGTTGAATTTTCAGTCTTCAGTGTCATATGGTCCTTTAAAAATCTTTGTAATATGCTTATTTGGTGCTATATTTCTTCTTATTATCAATGTTGAAAACTATTGTGCTGCCTAATGTTTTTGTGGAAACTTTTTTTTAATCAAGATTATTTGATGAACAATGCTCAGCATCTAATATCTGAACTCTAATATCATCTAAATATGTTGTCAACTGACACTTTTGAAAAATTAAATGCCTCCTTGTTAAATAAAAGTATTAATTGTCTTACTTTTGAACTTTTAAACAATAGTGTATATATTAATTAGTGTATATTATAATATTTACTCTTTTGCAGTGTCACACTTTTATACAAAATAATTTTACTGAAAATCATGCTGTGTAAAGCTTGTCCCAGTTAGCAACTTTAACCAAGTGAAGTGGAGCATAGCATTTATACATTTTATATTCTGCATAATTATTTGCTTTGAAACTGTACCAGTTCCAATGTTTTATGTTCATTTATTAATTAATTTGGTAAGTAGCCATGTTATTAGCAGGATAACATAATGTCACCAGGTCATTATCACAAAATAAACCCCTTCAGGCTGATTCGAGGCCCTCCTGTTATCCTTCAGGTTTATTTTGCATTAATGACCAACTGACTGTATCTTATCCCATACATTTACCATAAACATCTCACAATAATCTTCCTTCTCTCCATTGAATCTTTCCAGGGTATGGGGCCCTCCAGTATGCCGTCTGTGCCCCTCATGGTTGGCTGTGGCATTTCCTGTACGGCTCTACTCATTCTGCTGCTCATCTACGCTGCCTTTTGGAGGTGAGTTCAACAAAAACCCTGACCCACAGCCAGCAACACAACACAGACCTACAGAGGACCCCTTTTGAATGTAGCTTCCAGGTTCTGCTGTCCTCTGCTGATAATAGGATATTATGTGCTATTTTGCACTATTCCCCTTGTTTACTTCCCAGTGCTCTCACAGGTACACTTTCACTCTAAAATATTCATTTTTCAGACTGTAGCTTCCCACATAGGGTTGCCCCTGCTGGGATAGCGCATCTGGCATGGGGTAGATCTAGAGTGGGCCAAAACTGCAATTAGCAATAATTGGGAACAAATGAGGGATGGCGGGATCTGCCTGTGGCAGGACAGGATTATGTGGAGAGTGCTAGTGAAGGCTAGCATGGTTGCTAACAGCTCAGTGTGGCAGATGGCCCAGGACAGTCACATGATCAGCTAACACCGTGTCCAGAAAAGAGCCAACATGTTGTCAAGTGCTAAGTCAAGTATTTATCTCCTCAGAAGAATGACTCTAATTTTTCCCTGAATATATATATATATATATATATATATATATTTGTCACATGATCCTTCAGAAATCATTCTAATATGCTGTTTTGGTGCTCATTTTTAAGAGTGCTAGAGCTGGTATAAATGTCTCGATATACTATGATTTTGACCCTTATCCCATAATTCCTGAGTAGCAGGTGGGAAGGTATTTCCTCTATCCAAGATTAGTGCACTTGCCACATCAGAGAGCTTATCACGGGCCTCCCCTATCACTCAGACCATTGATCCAGGGGACGCTGTCATTGTCCTCTTGAGCAGATCTGGCCAGAGCTCAAATAGTGGATGAGGACATTTTGCTCACTGGTGCTTGTGTGCAAGAAGCTGTTTTGGAGTTCATCTGTAGGTCATCTGGGATGCTGCTCTAGTTGTCAGTGTTCAATGAAGTGAAAAAATTATAAATGGATTTTGATAAATGGATCCCACACATTGTATGTCATAAACCTGTATATCAAGCTTTTGTAAAGATAATAATTGCATAATAGCAACACAAAGTTGCTGTTAAAGTTGTCAGCATGTGATTTTCTTGTCTTTTCTTTTTCTTAGGTACATTCGTTCAGAGAGGTCCATCATCTTGGTGAACTTCTGCCTGTCCATACTGGCCTCCAATGTGCTGATACTGGTGGGACAGTCCCAAACTCTCAGTAAGGTGAGTGTGTGTGCACATTTGTATTTCTCTCATGTGTATGACAGAAAGAGCTGAGAAAAAAACAACCTTTAGGTTCCCATCTTGCTGCCTTCATGTTTGGATCCAATTTGAAGATATTAGAGTATTCTGGGGAATTATATGTCCTTCCAGCATGATCTACATGACATTAACTTATTAAACTATAAATAACTCATTAAGCTAAATAATATTAGTTTTGTGTTCCTGGAAGTAGCCCCTATGTAGTTGTTTTTGTTAATAATATTTGTGAAAAATATTTGTGAATATTGAAGAAAAAAGAAAACTTTTAATATATATATATATATATATATATATATATATATATATATATATATATATATATATATATATATATAT